GGCTTGATCCCAGGACCCCGGGATCATGACCTGAGCTGAAGGCAGACGCTTAACGACTGAGCCACCCAGGCGCCCCTGGATATATTTATATTAAAGTAAATCTCATGATTTTGGATGATTTAAAATAATATGTATTTAATTTAAATATAATTTCTATTTAGGACAGATGAATAACCTGAATTTGGTTTTTTGTATGTTGGGGGGAATCTGAATTGAAAGCTGAGAGATTGGAATCTTTGGACGCTAGATTATGATCCTGGGCAGAAAAGAAGTGAAAATCATTTCAATATCTTTATTATTCAGATTACATGGGCAGATCCAGGAGAATTGAGGCTGGGCGGTATGCTCAATAATGATCTCTTATTAAATCAAGCAGTTTGATTTTTAAAGAATCAGTCAGTTTCTGGAAGAGTGGTGCCATTTTGAAGTTAACATTTCACTCACCCCCCATTAGGATTTACCTCCTGCAGCGGAGTCCTCAAATTCAGAAAGTTGTCATTCCATCCCGTGTGCCCAAAACCACTTGATTCACAATGTGAAGTCCAGGGGCATTTGGGAGACACATTATGCAAAGGTAAGAAAGGCTAGGAGAGTCTACCATGAGTACAAATGGCTCTTTCTGGCCTCTTGAATCCAAAAGAGAAAGAAGTCTGTAATTTTACTCCTGGATGGGGACTCCCCAGTAATGAGGGAAAACAATTTCTATGTGAAAAATAGAATGTATACGTGATAAAGGCCTGCCTAATTTCTCTAGTAATACAATTTGATTTTCTGATTAGCTGTCTTATTCTGTGATTCTTGTAATTTTGTCAGGTCAATTAACTGGAGTTCAGTGCTAGAGAGAAAGGACGTGTGGGCACTGCTGGCTTCATTAGATGTCAGCAGCTTAGGTGCATTTTGTAATAGAATCTGTGTGGGATAATTTAGCCGATATTGTTAATGTCATAGCATACAGAACTTTAAAAAAAAAGATTTATGAAGCAGGTCAAATTGGACAAACAATGTGAAGTGCTAATAGAAGGAAGAGAAAGTGATCTGCACAACGTATATTCTAGGCAGTAAATGCATATCGATGAATTATTCAGCAAGTAATCAATGACCACACTGTGTGCCTCGCATCGGCACTGGTTGTCCAGGTGATGGGAATATAGCACATTTCCCTATAAACAGGGTATATAAGCGGGTACAGAGTACTGAAATAAATGTTATCTTTTATAATAAATTATTCACAGGTTCTTTCCTTCCACTGGAGGGTTTTTAGAGGGCAGGGGTCCATCTTTTTCTTTCTATCTCTAACACGAAACATGGCTCTGGTATAGTAGGTACGCAGATATGTTTATGGAATGAATACCTGAAGATTAACTTTCCAAGGGTGTATGGATGCGAGTGATTGTGGGAGTTGCGGAAACAAGTTAGAATATGTTCGCAGGAGCCCCCATTCCGAGTAATGTAGCACTAGAATCGTACCCCGGCCACAAGAAATGACTGCATTGAAGAGACATGACAAAGTAAGACTCCTACTTAATGATGGACCAGATAAAGAGGACTCAAGGGAGTTCTAGAGTTTGGGTCTGAAGAATTGTTGCCCAAACTCAGGAAGTCAATGGAAATAGCAGTTTTGTTGTGAAAGATCCTAAGTTTGGGTTTTGGAGGATGAGGGAGCTATTATCAGGTAGAAATGTCCAGTGGGCAGTTCTAGATTTATGACTAAAGTTGGGAGAGATGTCAGGGAGGGAAATAAATGGCTGTGGAGTGTTCGGTGATGAGATTATAACTGAAACCATGAAAGTGTATGGTTTGTCTCCATATAGTTTCAGTTTCTGGTGCTGTTCAAACAGAGGGTTATCTAAACATCTCGGCTGCACAGGAGATTGAAACACTATATCTGAAGATGAAATAGATGATGGTTAAAATTCTCTCAAGTTCTGAGATTCTCTAGACCTTCTCCTTTAGTTAGGGAAAGAAGACATACCCATGGGGAAAGCGACTGCAAACAAGACAGCGTCATATACGGCCATAATATGCACTGACATCATAAATTGCCAACTTGGACAGCTCAACCATCAGAGATTGGTACTGAGAGGTATCAGTTCATTGTGTGATTCAGACCAAAAGTGAATTTGGAGTTTGAAGAAGACATGATCTTTTGTGTTCCAGTGTGAGCATTCAAAATTTCATGTACAGTTGACTCATTTGGATAAACATGACCCCTCTACGCTGATTGATGGTGTTACCTGTCCCCTAATGTCAACTCACTCACGTCGTCTATTTTTCTGTTTTTGCAGAAGATAGATGAAGAGAACGAGGCAAACTTGCTAGCAGTCCTCACAGAAACACTGGACAGTCTCCCTGTGGATGAAGACGGATTGCCCTCATTTGATGCACTGACAGATGGAGATGTGACCACTGAGAATGAGGCTAGTCCTTCCTCCATGCCTGACGGCACCCCACCGCCTCAGGAGGCAGAAGAGCCGTCTCTAGTAAGAACCCTTCCTACTGTTTAACAGGAATTGGAGTTGCCTCTGGCTACCCGCTGCATGGGTATGATGTAGTAACAATAAGGTCTGGATTTTTAATTTAGATTGATGCCAAAAACAAGTCCCGAGCAGACTCAGAGCTGCAAATTCTGTGATTCTGTGTTTAAAAATGTTGGTAATAACAGTCTTCATGTGGTCTTACTACAGTTTGTTTTAACTTTTGCTGTGTTTGTGTATTTTTATTTCTTAGCATTATTTATGTTCATGGTAGAAGCTTAGAAAACATAGATGACCCAAAAAGAATAGACCAAAAATTCACCTGTAAAATCAAATAATCTCTGATGGAAAAAAAGATTGATATCTCCTCTTGTTTTAAGATACATCATCATGTTTGTGAATTTGAAATATATGCATGCATGGTTCATGTTACATATTATTTTATTGTTTGGAGATGTCCTGGTTCATTAAGAGATCTCTTGTGGCTGGATATTTAGTCTTTTTCCTATTTTTCACCATCATAAGTCATATAATAATCAACACATTTATAGTTTTATTCTTATGCCTACAATTCTAGAAATAAAAGGCCCATCAAGGGATATGCAATATTTTAAGGTTTTGGATCCATAATTCTTATGAAGATTGAAAAATAATAGCACATTTGCAACCTAAGTTCCCTAAATTTATGGGAGGCAATGAAGAGTGAATTTGTTGGCAATGAAGAGTAAATTTTCTTTTTGATGCAGTGCTTGACCAGAATTTTATTAGTTCTAAGACACAGTTTACCTTCTCATCTATGGTAGCCATTTGTCATTTGCCATAAATCTGATGTAAGACCATACTATGTAAATTTTGGAATGTTATCCTCCAAACTTTAATAATATTCCTTGGCTTGCCATTTAGAGGTTGTTTCTCTCCCTTCTCTAAGTTTTTTAAATGTTAAAAGCATTCCATGTAAACATATGGAGACTCTGCTTGTACTCCTGTTCATTTTGAGATTTCTGGTTTAGAAGAAACTATGTCATAAGTAATTGCTACCCTCTCCCTACCCCCACCATTTTTCCATTTGCCGTTGGCTTTGCTCTCTGGTACTTTGATGTCTTTACATTGATACCAGAGGATTTTCATCCACACAATTGGTTCACCTGGGAGGGGTTGTTGACTCAACATCATCCTGCCTGTCCGAGCAGGGAGGTCCTAGAAGGCCAGCAAGTCAAATGAAGAAACAGAGGTCAAGGAACAGTAAATGCTTTGCCTGAGCCAGAATCACATCTCCTGACTCTATTTACTTACAAGTCTTTTTCAGTGATAGCCACTCTTTTATCATAAATACCCTTTGAATCAGTAAAGTGAAACTGGATTGTAAAATATCATTCAAAGCATTACAGAATCTTTTATTTATTTTCACTTGATTCATTTGGGTTATTGAGGCAAAAATGTCCTATATTCTGTCCCCAACCCCCAATTCCTCATTTAGCAGGGCAACTTTTCTCAGCTAGTAGGTATTTGGAAATCCTTTTAGGAGGATCCTTTTTGCCTTATTTTATCCAAAAAAAAAAGAAAAAAAAAAAATCAAGGTAGACAATACTAAGTCTCAAATGTAGGGAAAAGAATACTTTCACAGTTGGTAGTGTAATGCCAAATTTTTTCTTACTTTTTAAAAATGCATTTCCTTTAGCGCTATTGTGCCTTGGTGTGACTATAATTAAAGAGTGAGAGAATTAATTTTTATAATTAATTAATATTAAGTTTAAAATTTCAGTAACTTATTCTAATGCCTACAGGATGCATAACTTTTCTCGCTTTTCCCCTCTCATATATTTCTAGCTTAAGAAGCTCTTACTGGCACCAGCCAACACTCAGCTAAGTTATAATGAATGCAGTGGTCTCAGTACCCAGAACCATGCAAACCATAATCACAGGATCAGAACAAACCCTGCAGTTGTTAAGGTACAATGCGAACTTTTTAATATAGGAGGGCAAGTAACAAAGGATTTTGCTTGAAGCAGTAAAACAAAGGATAGGTTTATTTCTATGTATTCAGCTGGGATCCTGCAGTTGCTTTATAATGTGAAACAATATGAAATGGGTTTCCAAAAGCAGCGCTCCAGCTACTTTAAACCAGAAAGAGTTCATTTATTCTTTGTCTTTGGATGATTGGAATGGAAGTCCCACCGTCTGTCACTCCTTGCCCACTTTATTAATACATGCAGCAATGTGGGTTACAATAAAATTTGCTGCTAGGCTGGTATTATCTATGAGTGACTTTAAGATGCAGGATTGCTGTTTCTCCAGCTGTCTAACCTGAGAAAGATTGCTCTGGAATCACCGCAAAAGATCTATCTCTGCCATTAATTGGATAGAATGCTGGCAATGACATAATTCGGTTAGCGGGCTGTATTAAACAATGTTTGTCTTGCCATTCACTGTGAGTGAAAACGGAGCGTTAAGGGGTACTTAAGAGAATTGTGAATACGGGGCTCCAGCAATCAGTGGCAAATTAAGGTTTAAACCAGCTTATTTTTTTTTTTATTCACAGTAAAGGCGCTATAGGGTCTTGTTAGTTACATGTTGCTGAGTAGGAACATTGAAATGTAGGAGAAATGAAATAAAAAGCTGCATAAATGTCATTTAGGAATTTTAAATGTAATTTTCTTTCCTTGTTCTGCAAACAATTATTCACAGCTCATAGATCTAGTACACTTAGACTGAACACTTCATTGAAAATCTCATCTCTTCAGAAAACCTATATCCATTCTGATAAGGTTCAGTTCACTAATTTTAGCTTTCTTTATGCCTTGTTTTTAAGACCGAGAATTCATGGAGCAATAAAGCGAAGAGCATTTGTCAACAGCAAAAGCCACAAAGACGTCCATGCTCGGAGCTTCTCAAGTATCTGACCACAAATGATGATCCTCCTCACACCAAACCCACAGAGAATAGGAACAGTAGCAGAGACAAATGCACCTCCAAAAAGAAGTCCCACACACAATCGCAGTCTCAACATTTACAAGGTAGGCTGGGGACTAAAACACAAGGCAAAGCAAGCATGCACCTGGCTGGGAATGCCCAAACTTCAGGCTTTTGCCCCACTGCTGTCTCTCTGAAAAGGGAATTCAGCACTTTATTAGAGACTTATAAAAAGAAAAAAAATCCTTCCTTGGACACAGGCTGAACATGTCCTATTCGGCTGATATGCAGCCTAATTCACAATCACCAAAAAGCACCTGAAATGTGAGCTGGGTGGGGAGGGGGTGGTGAAAGGTTTATGTGAAATCTGAATTCCCGAGATAATTGAAATTCAGAGCAAGCTGGGCTAGCCAATAGTAAAAAGCTGTTCTTTTTTCTTTTCTAATAATGGAAAGAAAATGAGGCATTGTTGATTTGTTGTATACACCTTAAAAAAGAGCACATGGTATTTGTGCGGCCTCTCCTGATTAAGTGCATTCTTTTTTTTTTTTTTAGAGACCACATGTTATACTCATAGATTTTATTTTGTAAATAAGGATTTGGAAATCCCTGGAATTTATTTGTATTTGCTTTCTATTAAAAAATATTGCCCAGATCAAACGAGGCATCTGGGTTGATGTTTATTGTCCCCATACATTCTAGAAGGCTGATGCTTCTGAGGCAGATCAGGGTGATTTGGGGAAAACCTGTCTTGGCAGAGATATAATTTTCTTTCTTTTTGGCTCTTCCCTTAAAATCGTCCTTAGAGGCCCAAAGGAAGCTTGTTGAAAGTTGCGGTCGCTTTAAAATATCTCAGCTTCCATGTTAACCCTACCTTTAACCTCGTGGTGGAGGCAGGCATAGTCTTTTTTTTTTTTTTTTTTTTAAAGATTTATTTATTTATTTTAGAGGCAGTAAGAGAGGGAGTGCAGGGAGGGGGAGGGAGAGGGAGAGAGAGTCTTAAGCAGACTGTGCGATGAGTGTGGAGCCCAACATGGGGCTTGATCTCACAACCTGGAGATCAGGACCCCAACTGAAACCAGGATCAGATACTTAAGCGACTGCGCCACCTGGGCGCCCCAGAAGCAGGCATATTCTAACATAGCAATTACAAACACCCACTTCTTTTTTCCCTTTTGTTTCCCTGACTGCCCCTTCCAGCTGCAGAGTGGTAGTCCCTGATCCCTGTTTTGAACCATGATTATTTCATACAGGTATGCTGTTGCTCCTGGTTTTAATTAGTATTTTCTTTCCAGTGTTTTTGGTTTCCCTCTCTCATCCCTACCCCACCATAAACCTTCAGGAACCTTCTTTTAAAGTTTTAAATTGGCTCTCAATTAGGTTTTCCCCGGTGGATGTCTCAGAATCCCTCGGCCATCCTTTTCTGTCAGTTCAGGGAAAAGATATTTATTGAAATGAACCACATTTTTTCTGTAGCTCGCCTTGCCCTGATTGGCCCCTCACGCACTGTGCACTGGACCAGTTTTTCTTAGAGCAGAACCCGCAGTGCTATGGGATGCAGTGGTGTGGAGAGCCTCGGGTGAAGGGAAGGCAGCTGAGCTCAGTCTAGTGAGTGGACTGAAAAATTCACTGGGCTACTGTCCACCTTGTCCTAGTGTGTCCCAGTCAGGCGTTTATTTTCTGGAGCTGAATCTGAAGCCCTCAGCCAGCTATAACCCTGTAGTCAGTGAACCCAGACCAGCAGCACATGTTTTAAACATTTTTTAAATTTACATATTCTTAAAATTGTATTTGGCCCTTTTGGATTTTGAGAGTTTGGGAGGTTTTTGGGTTTGTTTTTTAGATCCACTTACCACTAATATTACTGAAAAGTCTTACAAACCACGGCAGTGAGGAGTTAAATTGGCCTGTGGAGGACATATTCTTTAGATGAGACCTGCTGTATGTGGATTTTTTTTAGAAAGATATATGCCTGTGGCAAAGCATAAAAAGTTTATCCCCGAACAAAGCCTGTTGACGAAAACAAAACCAAACAAACAAAAACCCCACAAAATTCCTATCGTTATTAAAGTCCAAGAACAAAATAAACATGGCTGGCTGTGAATAACCAACAGGAAATAAATGCTCAGCTTCAGGATTTATTTAAATTATGATTCAAACTTTAAAAGTAGAATCTATATTAACGATTAGAGACAGTAGCCCAGGATCCACTGAGGTTTATCCCTTCTTGATGTATCATAATGTGCTTTCACTGAACTGCATGTGTGCTGTCTGTGAGAGTGTGGGGTCAAGTTCTTTTCACTTCCTTAGGATAATGGCCTGACCTTTGGCTCATGTTGGTGTCCCCTCTATTCATTTATTCATTCATTTGCTAATGTATTCATTCATCAAAAAGACCATGATCTGCATGAAAAGAATGCATTCCTGCCCTCAAGGATCTTAGAGGCCCTGGTCTGTCCATCATTGGAATAGTGTGCATTAAACTCCCCGTAAACCAAATCAGTGCTCCTCTCTTGGTAGCTCTCGTGAGTGTGGGCATATTCAGGGATGGCCTTCTGTACTGTATGTGCTTTGGGGCTGAAACTTCCTATAGCCTTCTCTTCCTGTTTGCCATCAGTCCCATTAAACATGGCCGCTGCCCAATGCTGCCCTTCCAGTGCCCTTGCATTCATCTACACCCAACTGTCAGAATGTTAGGGATCTTACTTTGAGCATTTCGGATAGGCTGCCCTACACCTTGAAAGCTGGAATCCCAGAGACCAATTTTCAATGTGTATTTACTGTGTATGGTACACAGTTCGTATCTAGTGATACTTGCTATGCATGATCCTAATTATGAGTTGAACGCCGAAAATGTTGGTAAATTTCCTTCATGAGTGTGTTCTTTTGGAAAGGCTCATTATATCAGACATACTAAAAAAATTAATCTAAAACCAGTTCATTTATCTGTATATATAAAAGCCAATCAATCAATGTACCTAATTTGTAGAAGACAGCGTGAACTTCATATTTCTGGATGCACATTGGATAGATGATAAAACATTCAATTGTTTAAAAACTAAATCTAAATCGACAAATTAAATATGTAAATACTGTTTATCCAAGTAAAGTATGTAACTTCAGCCTAATTTGGACATAAATAATATTTTCACATTTCAAAGGACCTTAATTACTGGGGTTGATTAATTTACTTTAGTATCTATTGAATACAATTCCTTTTGGTAATAGGAAAAAGGAAACATATTCTGGGCTGACTCCACCAGTAACTAGTTTTATGGCCCTGGAAGTATTTCACATCTTTAGGTCTCAGGTTTTTCATCCATAAAATGAGAGTTTATTCTAAAGAACTTTTTAGTTTCAAGTCTGTGATTTTCATTACGTAAATGACTACCTCTTGACCTTTTGAAAGTAGTTATGTTAATGAGAAAAAATTGACATAAACCTACATACATATATCTTTATAGATAAGCATATATATATACATAATATGTGGATGTATATCCCAAGTACGTTTCTCATCATGTTTTCCCCTCCTTCTGTTCAAAATACAAGACTGCCAAGGAGAAGCAATTGAAATTTTGGAGTGAGAAGAAGATTCTTACTCCACCCTTCCTAATTGGGAAATGCCTCCTGTAGGAGGTAAGATTTAGGAAGCATAAAAGGAAGTAAATGAGCTCTCTTTGCAAGTCTATAGGTCTCTCAACTGATAAATGCAGTATCTTACTTTGTCTCTAAGATTTGGGGATCTGAACCCCTTTTAAACCATCTGGGTCAGTGTCCACAATTTGTCATAATCTCTCAATTAATTATTTTCAGTAAATGGAATGGTTATTGCTTGAGCTTTGGCCTCATAGAAATAACCTATTCTCAGGGCTAGGTATAAAATTACACATTTTAGGAGAAAAATCAACTGAATATTCATAACGTTCTGTTGTCTTATGGTTATTCTGCTGTTTTCTTGTCTAAACAAACCGTGTACTGTATTCCAAATTAAAATAGAACACATTATTTCTCTCTGATGGTATGATGCAAATTTTGTATCCTTAACAGAGATGCTACATTTTGGGGGAAATTCTGGTTTTGTATGTGTTTTTGAATGATAGTTTACCAATGCAAATGTTGTTTGGAATTTGTTTTAGCATAATGGACTGTTGTCTGACTTTGATCCAATATGCAGGGATTTCCTTATTTTAGTTTTCCAGTTTCCAGTTTCCAACCTGATTGTAGTAAGAAAAAAAATTCTAAAAAAAAAAAAACACAAAAAACCCCACAAAAAACCTTCAAAAACTCAGTATTTCATAATTAGTTTCCTTTTTTTTCCTTTAGCCAAACCAACAACTTTATCTCTTCCTCTGACCCCAGAGTCACCAAAGTAAGTATTAAGAAATGTAACCATTTTCAGAAAGGGAAGGGGGTTCTAATACATTTGGCTACAGCAACTCCATTTCAGTTTGTTTTTATAAATGTGCCATATCTTCCAGTGACCCCAAGGGTTCCCCATTTGAGAACAAGACTATTGAACGAACCTTAAGTGTGGAACTCTCTGGAACTGCAGGTAAGCCTTACATTTCACTTGGAACTCTGTGTGTGTGTGTGCGTGTGTGTGTGTGTGTGTGTGTAATATGTATTAAATAATAGAGCATATTCTCCATGTGATTAATGAAATTAACAAATAATACAAGCAACATTGGATAAGAAGTTACCTATAAATATTTTCACTTCCTTTTTCTTTTAAAGAGAAGACATTTATTGTGTGTCAGACCTGGGCCAGACCCTCTGATGTATACTGTTGCTTTAGATCCTTAAATAACCCTTGAGCAGGAGGAGAAAATAACATTTATTGGTCTCCTGTTCAATAAATGTGCCAGGCGTGTAAGTGGTTTTGACTAGTTTCACAACAACCTCATGAAGATAGTGGTAATTTTCTCATCTTTAAGATGAGGATATAAAGTTCAGAAATGTTAAGCAACTTGTCCAGGATCACAGAGCTAGAAAGCAAGGAGCAAAGTTTTGAACCCCAGTTTATTCATTATATCAATGTTTGAATTGGAATATTTTCTCACTCACCATTATACTTAACAGTATAATGTTCTCTTATATATGTTACCATTTTTATCTTTTCAGCAAAGGAGAAAAATGAAAATGTGCCCATTCACCAAAACAAAATGTACTTAGATATTTTTAAACAAGAGTGATTTTCTTCGCCATTTGGACTTCTGGACTCATTTAGTCAGTCTTACTTTATGCTGAAGAGGAAGGAGCTTTAAAAGCTTGGAGCAACCCCCGAATAACTTAATAATCCACAGACTTCCTAGGCAGACTTCTAAGTCGGGTGTAAATGGTGCCTTTGCACTGAGTGCTTTAGGTTTAGGTACAGAACTATACCAGAAAGTGAATCCTAGGCTGTCTGAACAAGAAGTTCCTTGGCTCTGGCCATTGCTGATAAGGGTAAAGGAACAGTAACTTAAACAAGATGCTTTCAACCAGAATATAGTGCCTACATACACCATGGTCATTGTCACTAAGTTTAATTTCACACTTTGAGTTTGCTAAACTACCACCTTGTGAAAGGTCTACTGCATGATCTCATGATTTAGTCAAGCAATGGGGTAGTTAATTTCATGGTATTTATATATATTCTGTGTGTGTGTGTGTGTGTGTGTGTACGTACACGTATATACATATGCAAATGTATACATATCTTCATATGCATACATACATATATACATATATACTCACTTATAGGCATATACATAACATCATTTCTTAAATTGTAATTACTTATATGGTTATAAGTAACTTTTATGTATATATATCATATGCGGTAAAGACCTTCTTATCTGACCAACAAGAATGAGTATTTTGGTGCATTTATCCAAAAAACTGATTAAAGTATATAGTTTTGTCATTTTACTTTTGCCTGAGTCATATAAAGAAACATTCAAATATCAATTTTTTTTTGTATAAGAAACAGCGACCTTTGCCTTGAACTTAAATGTCTTAATTGGCAATCCATTCATCTTTCTGGCACAAACTGTAGTAATAATAATGTATCTTAGCGGGGCGCCTTGGTGGCTCAGTCGTTAAGTGTCTGCCTTCAGCTTAGGTCATGGTCCCAGGGCCTCTGCTGGGCGGGAAGCCTGCTTCTCCCTCTCCTACTCCCCCTGCTTGTGTTCCCTCTCTCACTGTCTCTCTCTCTCTCTGTCAAAATAAATAAATAAAATCTTTAAAAAAAAAAATGTATTTTAGATGGTATCCACTGTTCCTTTCTTGCTTTTTAAAGGAAAAGAATTAAAGATATTTGTGTAGTAGTCTGAGTGCAAAATCATTGTGAATTTTTATGATTTTCATATAAGTAAATAGTAATCATAATTTCCCATGTTTTCCCAGTGTTTCTGATACCACCTGTCTACAACTAATTTGACATCTCTTCTTTTAGTGACATACCTTTATTGGTTCTTCTTACAGAAACAATTTTTCTTATACTTCATTCAATGGCATCATATTTTATTACCTTACATAATTCCAGTTACCACTATAATAGACATCAACTGGTTTGGGAAATACTACTGTGGCCCAGTTGAAAGGAATCTATTTACTCTGAGTGTTCAGAATGTTGTATTAGTCAGTTACTTTGTTTCAGAGAGGATTGAGAAAGGTTCCATTTTATACACCCACACCAAGGCTTCTGTTAAAAGGTTTTTATTATTCTCTTACTATAAATAATTTAAGCTTACTATAAAAATGTCAAAAATATAAACTGGTGGAAAAATATTCATAATTCTTTTTTTTAAGACTTATTTATTTATTTGAGAGAGAGAGAGCATAGCAGGGGGAAGGGAAGACGGCAAGGGAGAGGGTATCTCAAGCAGACTCCCTGCTGAGCACAGAGCCCGACTGGGGTGGGGGTGGGGGGCCTCAATCCCACAACCCTGAGATCATGACCTGAGCGGCAATCAAGAGTCAGACAGAACCAACTGAACTACACAGGTGCCCCTATTCACAATTTAAGATGTAAAGTTACCAATGCATTTTTTTCTTCTATGGATAATTTAATATGTTATATTTATACTATAATCATTTTGTGTATATAATTTTGCATCCTGATTTTTCAGTTAACATTTTAATGAGAAAGTTTTGTATTATCACAGACCCTTTATTATCAGGCTTTTAGTGTGTTACATGACATTAGTTTTAGTAGGTACATCAAAATTTATTTAGTCGTACTCCTCTTATAAAGTTAGGTTGTTTTAAAGTGTTACCGTTTGGAAATAGCACTGCATTAGAAATGTTTGTTCATAATTTTTTTTTACTGAAGTGTATTCGACACACAATGGTATATTAGTTTCAGGCATACAACATAGTAATTCAACACTTCTATATATTATGCAGTGCTCACCACGATAATTATAGTTACCATCTGTCACCATATAAGTTTATTACAATATTATTGATTAATTCCCTATGCTGTGCTTTTCATCCCTGTGACATATTTATAACTGGAGGTTTGTACCTCTTAATCCCCTTCCCCTATTTTGCCCATCCCCCCACCTCCCTCCCCCTGGCAATCACCATCAGTTTGTTCTCTGTCTTTATGAGTCTGTTTCTTGTTTGTTTGTTTGTTTTGTTTTGTTTTTTAGATTCCACATATAAATGAAATCATATGGGATTTGTCTTTCTCTGTCTGACATCACTTAGCATAAGATTCTCTAGATCCGTTCATGCTTTCACAAACAGCAAGATTTTCTTTTTTATGACTGAATAATATTCCATTATATATGTATACTACATCTTCTTTATTCATCTATTGCTTTTGTATCTTGGTTTTTATAAATAATGCTGCAATAAACATAGGGATGCATGTATCTTTTTTAACTAGTGTTTTCATTTTTGTTGAATAAATACCCAACAGTGGAATTACTGGATTATATGGTATTTCTATTTTTAATTTTTTTTTCAGGAATCTCCATATTGTTTTCCAGAGTGGCTGCACTGATTTACATTTCCACCAGCAGTCACATGGTTTCCTTTTTTCCCCACATTCTCATCAACACTTGTTACTTATTGTATTTTTTATACTATTCATTCTGACAGGTATAAAGTGACATTGTGGTTTTAATGTCCCTTTTCCTGATGATTTAGTGATGCTGAGCATCTTTTCATGTGTCTGTTGGCCATCTGTATGTGTTCTTTGGAAAAATACCTATTCAGGTCCTCTGACCGTTTTAATCAGATATTTGTGGGGTTTTTGTTGTTGTTGTTCTTTTCACAAATTTTATCTTATTTTCTAAAGATAAATTCTTAGCAGTTTTTAATAGTGAATATAAAGATATCTTGGGGTCTTCTGGTATATATTGCCACATTGCTTTCCAAAGGAGTGCTTTTATTTATAGCCCCATTAGCACTACATGGATATACTTGCTTTATTACATCCTTCCTAGCATTGGATATCTTTGTTTTTGAAATGTTATATATATGAATATATCATTTTAATTGCATTCCTTCCATTAGTGAGGTTATGGTGTTACAAAAAAGCACTTCTTTTACAAAAGTTTTAACATTTTTCTTATTGATAGATATCTAATTTTAAGTAATTTAGTGATGATTTCAAAAGTTTAGGAGCCTACACTATTGAAAGACAAGTAGAGATGTATATAAGATACATTTTTTTTACATATTTAAAATCCTTAAAAATATACACAGTGGATTTATTTCTGTCAGTGAACCAGAATTCATCTGACTGATTTAAATCCTTTCCTCTGGGGGCTTTGAAAGATTATTGGGTACAATGGAAATCAATTTACCAACATGTTTTTGATACCTGCTCTATGCTTGCAATATGATAGGTCTTAGCGGATGTATAGCAAACGGGAGACCTAGAGGCTGATCCATATAAAGTATGAAGCATTGTCCTTGGCCTGCTAAACAAACGTTCTTGTGTTTAAGATGGGGGCTTATAGTCTGTCGGGGAAATAACACACATTGTACAGGTAGCATGAAGGCAAGATATTATTTATTACCTGTAATATTTTGTTACCTTCTAAGAAAGATGGGCCCAGGGGGTGGTTTTTAGTTTATGGAGTGTGGTGGTTTTAAGTGTGAAGCTGCAAATTGGAGAAACTGAGGTAGGGCCAAACTGCCTTACAAAGTAGAAAGAATTTAGAGCTCTAGAAAAACAAGGCGCTGAGGAGGAACCTGGAGCATGCCGAAGGAGACTGGGAAGAAAAGTTTGGAACTGGAGGGTGGTGTAAAGAAGGGGTTTTTTGGATAGAGATATCATGCATTTGAAATGCGATGCAGTGTATGGTGGTTGTGATCTCCATCTCCTCGAACAATCTTTAGTAACATTTCTTGCATGGTAGGGATTGCACGATGTGACAAAGACTGATTGTACCTCAACAGAATCACCAAAGGGAGAAAAGCAGTTATCAAGGGGAACCCTGTAACTTTGCTTCAAGTTAAATACAATGACTGCACAGAAGATTGAAAAGAATTATAAAGATGGTTCAAGGACAGAAAGAAGCATTAAGCTGATATCATTAGTGAAGGACCCAG